TTTTTTTTTTCCTATTGGTGGGATTTTCTATATATGTCTATGGGGTTGACTTGCCAGTCTGGTGGCCTTTATATACTAATAATAGTCATTATTATTACGGTTCATATGGTTTGTGCAGCTAAATAGTATGAGTAGATGGGTGCTATCTCTAATACCATCTGATTGTGAAACCCCATTGGTTGTACTTGTTACTTTTTTGTATGTCATATTCAGAAGTCATTTCTGGTGGAGATGGCTTTGAACTGATAGCTTTAGTGGTGTCTTGTTGATTGTTATGACATGATGCTTTCGGTAAGATAAGGTATGATCTTCCATCTTTTGTGGGTTTGTTTAGTGCTTAGATTCCTCATGCTTAGTCTCTCTTTTTGCTACTTCTGCGAGTGTTGGGGGGTGGGGTAGGTGAGGGTAGTCTATGTTGGAACTAGAGGACAAACTCAGCCGAGAGAAAGGAGAAAGTCCCCCTCCCCTCCCCTCATAGACCCCTAGGGCAGGAACGGGTACAGGGGTGGCGAACTTACAAGTAGAATGGTTGCATTGAATTAGATATATGATTAGATTCTCAAATTAAGTCCATCCAGTATTGCTCTCCTGGTGACTTTTTGTAACATTAGAAGTTGTTGAAGTATCATTCACCTTGAGATTCATATATAGATGAATATTGCAACAAGAGTTCCAATGCTTGGAAAATGTATGTAAATGGTATAGTATTTGTATCGCATGTCAGCTTATGTCACCTCAACGCTCTTAATCTCAACTACTTAAAGACGGTCTTATATATGCATTTCAAGTCAACTTTTCGCAACATTCGTATACTTTATTAGGCATTATTCTTGGCTTTCCTCTTACGCTTTTTAGGTCCTTGAGTTTTGATAAGATTATAATGACTGTCAATTTTGGTACTTTGAAGATGATACACTCAAGTGTCCCAATTATAACACTATAGATCTTGACTTTGTGCCGTGCAGAAATGCTAAGGTACTCCATCATGACGGGTGCATTTGTGCAGTTTGGTAATGTTTATGATCCATCATATATACCGAAAGACTACACGATAAATCAAGACAGTTCAAACCAGTTCGTCATTCAAATTGATTTTAGCAATAATGTTAAAAAAATTATAAAAGGCTGTATCCCATAAAACTCGCAGCGATCTAAACAAGATTTAAGATTTTGCCCAAAATCCCAATTGTTTTTTATGTCAAAAAAATGATGTTAGGCAACTTTTTAAGCAAGTTTCTATTTACATCCCCTGACTAGGGCCATTTGTGTAATATAACCAATTTTACTTGATTTTTCTAGTAATTTCATACCATTAAGCATTTTTACTTATATGAGACTATAAACGTTATTTATTAGTTTTGATATTTTGACAATAATATTTCAGAGAATACTTTACTATTTTTTCAATTTATATGATATTTTAGGAATCAACAAATCTATTGAAGAACTGTAACTATGCGAAAGGCTTAAGAAAATATGCACCATAAAATATGCAATATATTGTATTAGCCTTATGCTAAATGATGAAATAATGTGAACACTCGAGCTAATCGCCAAAATTCAATAATTTTTTCATGTAAGTTCATCAATAATATCATTGTGTGTTATGCCTAAAAGTTTTTATGAACACAAGATTAAGCGTTTTCCAAAAATTCATTGGACTCGTATTAGAGGATGTTCACCATCAAATATTCGATTCCCTGGTTCATTGAAATAAATTTACAGGTTACTTCTCACAACCATCATTCTGTCATTTTTCATCAATTTGAAAATGGTCATAATTTCATAGTAAGCAAAAGTTTGAGACAACGTACATTGATATTTACTTTGAAATATAAGTGTTTTTCACACACTAAAAGACAAATATTGAACATTGTACTAAGTCACAATTTTTTTTCAAGCTAGTAAATTTCATAATTTTGTTGACGACACTAAGAATGATGATGCCAGTGACTAAGTACCATCTTTCATGCTTAACAAGTTTCTGAAGAACCTAAGCATTCAAAATAACCATTATGGTCATTAATATTGATAATGATGACGTTGTTGATAAGGAGGAGAAAAATAAACAAGTAGACTCCTTCATACATCCCGACTAAGGTCTACCAAACGTGCACTTCCCTTATTTATCCAACCGCTTCACTAAGCATTCAAAATAACCATTATGGTCATTAATATTGATAATGATGACGTTGACGATGAGGAGGAGAAAAATAAGCAGGTAGACTCCTCTATACATCTCGACTAAGGTCTAACAAACGTGCATTTCCCTTATGCATCCAACCGCTTCACTAAAAAAATAAGTTATATAGAAGGATGGATTGGTTGTATAGGCTTAAGCTTTTTTCTTTGCACCTTTTGGTATGTATTGCCTCCTACCTATAGATCAGATCCCACACACGAAACTAAAATTCTGCACTTCTGCTGAGTCATTAGGCTTATTTATTTTCATTTTTCTAATAATGCTTATCTTAGTCAAACTTACAAGTGAAATTTTAAATAACTATACAGCAATATTCTTTGTAATTCTAATGAATAAGAGGAATTCATGTATGAGTTTTAATAAGGAAACAACCTCTCTGCTTGTAGGATTAAGGTTGTGTATATCTAATCTTCTTCAGATCTCATAATGACAAGAGTCTCATGCACTAAGTACGCTCTTTACTCTTCTTCTTTTTTTTTTCATGTATGAGTTCTAACCTAGTAACATCCCGGTTGTCGTTTTCGCAATGGGTTGGCAAATTCGTGCAAGAAAACTATACAATTTACTATCATAAATTGAAGCAATTAGTAGGCTGAATATTCACAAGTAGGGATAGAAACCAGGAATTGATTTTGAAGTTGACATCTCAATTATTTGTAATTAACATTTTCTGAAATTTGTATAGGTGTTTATGCATACTTCTGGTAGCTAATCGGCAGGCCATTCTTTGACCTTTGCAATAACCTCTGGTGTCATTAATCAGAAAATGGTTTCTGTGGTATTGAAAAGAAAACCATCACTTTATAGTTAAGCTTGAAAATCAAGAAATATACTTAATAGCGACATAGTTCACATAAATTAAGGCTAATTGCAGTTCAAATTTATCAAGGAAATTGGGGTTTTTTCAGTGGAGATCACTGCAACGTCATGGCTAGCCGACCACACGATGAACCCTATTAGACAATCACTCATTCACAAACTTAGAGTATTATTTCTACTTTCACCACATGAAGAATTAAAAAAAAAAACTCCAACAAAAAACTGCCTCCTTTTGTTGCATATACACGGGTTTGGTGTTTTATACAGTATTATCAAAATTTCAGCTTTCGGGATCATAATCTCAAGCCAACAATAAAAGAGACCACCAAACCGTAGACAATTTGTTTTCATGAATTTACTAGAGGATAAATACATATAAGTTAATTCATAGGTTTGATTATGACTAATGATGTCGTGTCCACCACAGTTTATAAAACTTACACTTATCATTTTATTGTCATTGTTTTGCATATTTTATTGCTTGATACCACAACAATTATCTAGTTTTGCTCAAACTTTGGGTAACAATCTTTGTACATTATAATCCTGAACTTTGACATATACATGATTAACATACGAATAGTAATATCATTGGTGATGTTGATACCTTATCTACCCCACCAGAAAGGTTTGTTTATCATAACAAAACAAGACTAAAAAGGGGTGTAAGTATTAAGATATGTATGTTTTCTTCCACAAGAATTTGCCCTAGATGTGTTTTATGACTTTTTCTGTTTCTTTTTTTTGCTACCAGGTGTCCAGACTTGTGTTAATTGCTCTCTATATGACTATTTTGAATCTCCAATAATCATTTGTTAGCCGATTTGTGAATCCGGAAACTTAGGAGTAGGATTGTGTTTATTATTAGGAAGAAAATATTTTTCCAAACACAGTCATCTGTACTAGATCAAGCTTGAAATCTCCCCTGTAATCACCACCACTCCCCAGATTTTCAAATATTTGCTAAACCATCTAATTTATTTCTGAGTTTTTGACAGAGTCTATTTTCGGTCCTAATAAATAAATTCATTAGTCTCTATAAAAACCTTATTATACCTGCTTTTTCATACTAATCTGGTTTTTAAAATATATTTAGTATTATTGGTCAGCATCAGCTCAAGATGGTTTCGAAAATATTATAGCACTAACAAACAAATTAATCAGGCCCCTTGTAACAAAATTCCATCTCCAGCTCTGTGTACCCACCAAACTTCTCAGCCCTCAGACCAGTTCCTTGTTCAAGATTGTTCATATTTTGTTCCAACTGTAAAGAACTAAACAAGCGTGTAGATTTCAATAAAATCGACGATACTACAGCAGGACTATCAACTGGACAAGTTTCAATCGCTTGGGTCTGAGTATGTTTGCTTAACAAGTATCAGAAAGGGATTGACTTAGCTGGATATATTCATAGACTTGACTAAAGAGAGCAGTTTTCATGTCTCATGGTGTTTGGTATGAGAGAAAGAGAGAGAAGATCTTGCTGTTTCAAGGTGATACTCTAGTGGATAGTGGATATAGCTAGATTGAATATGGTCACGGAAGTTATCATCTCTGTCATACTATTGTTTGTGGGTATAGCTGTTTTGGTTGTAATTCATATCTGTCTGGTTGGGAGGGCTTTCAACGGGAATGACAACAATGGTCATGCTGCTTTTCAAAGGGGTATTACCAGAAACCCAAGCATGTCCAATGATGACATAAAGAAACTGCCATGTTTTGATTACAAGGTGGAAGAGAAAGGGAATAGCCTCTTGGATTGTGCTGTGTGTTTGGAGAATTTTAAGTTGGGGGAGAAGTGCAGGTTGCTGCCAAACTGCAATCACAGCTTCCATGCTGAGTGCATAGACTCTTGGTTGTTGAAGACAGCAGCTTGTCCAATCTGTCGAACGCGTACGAATTCGTCGAAGATTGGGGGGCAAAGTAGCAGTTCAAGCGAAGGGGGGATTGAATTAGCATAGAGATCAGGATTTAACTTCGTACTCAAATTTCGCATTCACATAGATAATATATGCTTTTCACACAGAATATTATTCTTTTTCTATCTCCATAGCTTGCAGCAATCAGCTTCTGACAATCTTGACTAGTTTGTGTGACATGAAAATCTTGAAACTGTCAGGCTGATGCCCTTGTTTGCAGTTGGTTATACATTTCCTATAGCAGGTTAGACGGTTCAGCGCAGTCTTGCCCTTGCATGTGGAGAGTACTTCCGTCACTTGAACTTATAACGCTCAAACTTATTATTTAGACGAACCGAACTTGAACACTTTTTTAGGCTCATTTAAAAAATGAACTAGACAAACTTGACTCAAACTCAACAGGTTTGATTCGTTTATATATAAATACTCGGGCTCGGTTCAGATTGGCTTGTTTTGAATTGATTCATACGAGCCGAATTTGAACAATTTTTTAAACTCGCTTCAAAAAGTGAGCTCGATAAGCCCAGCTTAAACTTGTTTGGATTCATTCGATTATCAGCTCTAGGTGCGGGGCTCTAAAGAATCATCAATACTCCATCCTGACCTGCGTTTCAGTGGATGTGGCTTAGGAAACATAATTCTGAAGAAATCTTGAAAATTCGAATGAAGTGGACATAACATGTATCGGATCATAACAAGATTGACTGGCTGTTCCACTAAATAGATAAATCTAATTACATAAGACGCAAATCAAAATGATACATGGTTGAAAATAAATGGGTTGAATACAAATTAAACACATATGACGCAAATCGACAAGACACGACCTTATGTGACGTTTCCGGAAGACCACTGGCAAACTTTTGGAAGTAAGCTATAAAAGGTCATAATAGAATCAAAGATTAGCACAATGAGTGGTGGACACAACCACAAAGAAAGGAAGGGCACAGGAAGAATAACATGGTTGCTGCTCCATCTCCTCACTTTGTCATATTCCTTTCATGTCTCAGGCAACAAGGCCACACCATACCTCTCCTCTACCCCTCCCAACTCCTCCACAAAAGTTATATCTACATTACCATCTTCAACACTCAAGCAAACTCCCTGGGGTCGTGCTTCCCTCCACAACATTGATATCTGTTATCAATATCTTCCATCCACAAACATTATCGGAATCCCTCTTGCGCCACAGAACTCATCAAACTGCACTTTGCAGAAGTCCAGTAGACTCTCCAACCTGTTAGCTGCATAATCTTGCTGGATTTTAAGCTGCACCCAATAGCGAGGAGTGCACTTCTTTGCCATGACTTGGCGAAATTGTACGGCAAGTAAAAACACATGTAGGTGTTAGTTCAGATGATAGCGGTCCCCAGTTGCACGCTTTCCTAAGTTGAAGCTAACCAGAAACTGGAACGACCATCTAACACGATTGAATGAAAAGGTGCACTGTTTTGAGTTTGCTGTTGAGTAAGGTACTGTAATGTCAAAAAGCCTCCTAATAGCTTCTAGGAGCTAGCCCTCGGCCATCAAACAAAACGAAGCTTCTGTGAGTAGGAACCAAATTTCAATAACTACCAAGAACCAAAAGACTGAACCTAGGGCTTAATGTGTTAGATCACTGTGACCCGGGAAGTCAACACCACAAACCCTCCCAAAGCCAACATGGGAGCAGTGGAGGCCGAGAGAGAGCCAGTTTCCCAGTTATATTACATGAAATGGTGATATGCTTAAAACAACTGTGAATATATATTTCGAAAGTGGCAAATTCAAAAGGATCAGAGTTCCTGGAGGGGATGGTGAAGCAAGGGACAGAACATATGTAAATATTACAGTAAAAGAGCATCAAAGCTTATCAAATCATTCCATTGCTAGAGACTATTTGTGCCAATGTGCCCATCTCGGCACACCAGTTGATAGCTGAGTTGCGTCTGAATGCAAATATGGAGGTGGAAGAGATTGGTGAGGAAGAGATAACAATAATAATGCCAAGTAACCGACCCATACATAGCATTGTGAGACGGCAAGAAAGTAACCCTTCCGTGAAACCAATCCATGGCATTAGGTGATTCATCCTGGTAAATGCTAATCGACGTGGTTTGTGGAAAAGATATATGCCTTTCTCAGGTTGCCCATGCTAATGTCGGCGACTTTGGAGGACAAGTCCCCTAGCCGTTGCAATTTTCATCATTAGGTGAGGTTGGGGTCTCTTGCTTCCTTTCACACTTCATTTTTCTTTGACATATAAACTCGCACAATTGCAAAATAACACGTTCTAATGATAGTTAAATATCCTGAGAATCTCCAATAATAAATCTCAGGTTCTGTTTTCTCATTGAAACTATCATAAAGATAAAAAAAACTCTACTAAAATGAATGACCCAGAGATACGATAAGACCCACTACATTAGATCATCAACTGCATGTTTCTCAAAGGATCCACTAGTTGAGATGAAAGTACATGCATTCTTTTACAAGCGAAAATATCTTATGAGGATAACCATCTTGAGTTCGAATAACAAAGCATTGATACAAGGCATAACAGAGCATCAATGATTAGTATTTGGACTTAGCTCACTTCTTATCAGTGTTGTCTTCCAGTTCCCTCCTCAGCTGCAGAGAGAAGTCATCAGTGACATCATCATCATCCCAATCATCTTCCCACTGCTGAGTTATATCTGTTCCTTCTTCCTTGTCCTCCCACTCTGCCATTTTTTGGGATCATTCCAGAAGAAATATTCAGAACATAAGGCACAAAAAATGATCAAAGCCACACGAGTCTGGTTAACCAGAAAAACTTGAAGCAGTATACAGACAATTGATGTCTATCATGAATCAGAGCAACATTTTAGTTTCATTCTGAAATTTTGATACATGGCAAGAAAAAAGAGGCCCGCAAAGCAAAGCAATCTACTTAGAAGCAACTAAAGAAAACTATGTGCAGAGCAAACTATTTTCTCACTCGAGTTTAAAAAAAACTATTTTGCCACTAACAGCAAATTTCAGAATTCCTGACGACATAGTGTATAAAATATAAACAACAATGACACGACGAGTATATGCCATTACAATCAGTCTGGTACCATTGTTAGCACCTTTACTACACATTGTAAATCCATATTAATAGAGCCACACATGACATCCCCTCAGACAATAACTTTGCAATTCCAAAAACTAACCATCCAAAGAAGTAAATCTTATCAAGCATTGCAAATCATATCGTGACAAAAAAGTAATACCAACCTCGGCAACCCCATTTCTGCCTTTATGGTCACCTTTTGCCTATAAGCCTCGTAATAGTTTAGCTTGGTTCTCATACTCATTTGGTGATCTATCTCCAAAAAGACAGGACAGAAATGGTGGAAGGATTTTCAGTTGTGGTGGTCTCCCAAGTCACAACTCATTATGTTTGGTAAGCCCTAACGTTATTATTGATAATAAATAACATAAGGGTTGTAGCACCTCTTTGACATGGTCTTATCTAGCATAACTGTCAAATGACTTTTTTCAGCTAATTTATTCTAACATGCATTTTTTGATTCTCGTTGTTATGACATCATCTTCATCAAAGACTAAATGGATATCAGAATAGCTCATTTCAAAGGATTGAACATATACTCCTCTACAATGCATTACACTACACCATAATTTCCAATTTCATCCTTCAATAACAGCATTAGCATGCAAAAATCTTTAATTCCATACACATTACTTAGTTAGACATTCTATAAATTTAACAGGAAGCAACAGCTGTAAACAAATCTATGCCCAGCATGCAAAACCCATTTTAAATTCCTCATTAAGAACACTAACTCCAATTTAAAAGGCAAAAATGCCATCAACCACAAGATTACACCCTTCCATGCCCAGCCATTTAACCGCCCATGAATTTACTTGCCCTAAATATGGTTACCCAAAGAAAGCAGTTGTGTCACAAAATTTTAGAAGGAACCAAATCATTTAAAACAAAAGTCCCAAATCCAAGACCGGCCAGGGTTAGTCAATCATTATACAACCCAAAAACCAATCTGCGAACATAAATTGCACAAATAAACCTAATTATCTGCTACTAATTAATCATGTCACCAAAGTTTTTTCCACAAGAAATATGAGATTTTTTTTACCTTGATCGATTTCGAACTCCTCGAACTCGTCATCGTCTTCAAACAGGTCGATCTTTGCTTCTTCGGTCGCTACCTTGGGTTGTTCGGTTGCCATTCTGAATCTCTGACAAAACCTACAGTGAGTGAGAACGGAAGGAAATTCAGATAGGGTTAGACCACAAATTGGAAGCTAAACCCTAACTCTGCTCAGTGAAACAGATACACATATACGCACTAGTAGTAAGATAAACACGAAGAGAGAGAGAGAGAGAGAACCCACTTTACAGTAACACAAAAAATCTCTAAACGATTTGTTGGTTTGTGGCCGCCGATTCGAGAATGTTCTGGCCTAACACAAGAATTTATAGTCGCAAAGCAATCCGAAACCAGTAGGGAGGCTGGAGGCAGTTTCTACTTTCCACACTACGTCGTTTAAGTGAAAGCACATCTTACCCTTTATCCTCTCCTCTTATCACAAGAGGGCAGAGGCAGGAATTTATCATGGTGAAAACTAATTTAAACAATGACACTAAAAAGATTGATTAGTAACACTTTTATTCAACACGTTTACAAGATTTTCGAATAGTTTTTTATATTTTGAAAATATTGTATAGTAATCTCATTATTAATATAATTAATGATATTTTTCTAATTCATCTAAATTGACAATGATAAGAGAGGGCAAGAGACGGAACAAAATACAATGGGAGAGAGAACACATAGCTTCAAAATGGTTTTTCAATAACTTCTTGAGGTTTGTTAAAAAAATAATAATAATAATTTCTCAATGGGATTCAACAAGCCAAATACAACAATTTACAAAATTATGAGTAGAAATTTAATTCAAATGTGTGAGAGATGATTAAGTGGATCAAGATGCATGACATATATATATACTAGTTATTGTCTTTGTCTGAAGGCACAGA